AAACAATATTCAGCAAACCAAATTGTTGTAGAGAACCATCATTTCCATTCCTATTTTTTTTCGACCATAGTTTTATCAGATACAGCAAAGAATGTATGGAAAAAAGAGATAAACGGAACATGCTTCCGTTGTCATAGCATCTGCCTGCAAAAGAGTGACTAATTTGGTCAACAAACCCAATAATCAAGGTACATAATTCAAAAAACTACCTATTTGTACATTGACTGGTTCATCACTGTAAAACTGGGTGTTATCCATATGGGACTTGGGCAGCTGCACCAAAGCGGGGACACAATTTCCTCCCTACTGGCATCTTCAAGGTTGAGAACACCTATATCCCGGGGATTCGTCTTATACATCCAATTATATTGCTCATCATCTGCGAAATAGACACAATTTGCCTTCAGTTGCGGATATTCTTCAGCACTAAGGCATATAGGCTGGTTACGCCCAAGAAACAACACGTTATGATGCAAGCTATTTATTTCCACGAGCTCTTCTGCTTCCATATCAACTTTGTGTAACCAGACTTTATTAGTTTTAACTATGAGCTCCTCATAACCCGCATCTATGAGTTCAGCCTTCCTGCAAACTTGCAGCAGACCGCCCCATGGACCCTGAAGAAGGTAGAACTGCCCCTTGTACTCAGAACTGTAAATGGCAATCTCATCTGCAATTATATTCCTCGTGACGGTACGACCAGTGAGGTCAAAAGCATCCATTCGCCCGGCTCTTGTGGATGCATACAATAGACCATCCATGTAGATGCATAGATCATAGTCCCAACCCGGCGGCAGCGAGGTCCACTTACAATCTCCTACCCTTGCAAACGAAAGCTGACGTACTGGACCATGGATGAGAACCGCAATATAGCTTCCTGTGGACGGATCCGGAAAGATAAATACCCTGATGTAGACATGGTCACGAAGCTTGTCGGGAGCATGGGGGAACATTTTGGGACCAACCATTTCGGGGTCTAAGTCCGGATCGTAAAGTTGCTGCCGCAATTTATACATAATAACTGTGCCTGCATTGTCAAAGATTGGCTCTACATAACCAATGGTGACCACCGACGGGAGAGCAATCTGCTGGCCGGTGACCGGATTGATAAGGTGTAGCTCAGACTTGTCATCCGCGGTAACTAGCCAACCATGTGATGACCCAATAAGATACCTGTTGCGGATGGGTGGATCCGGGAGAGTTAAATTGTAGACCCTCTTCTCTGCGAGGCTGTAGAGACAAGCTACATTCTCACCAGCAGATTCAGAGGTGTAGAGGAGGCAAGGCGTTTGAGGCCGTTTGTACAGCTTAAGCTGGCTGCAGAGGCTGGTATACGCGGAGCGCCAGGAGGAGCTGACAGAGGCCGCACGCATGAGGTCGGGTATCTCCAGGAGTGAAAATATGTCCATCAATACATCCTGCGGCAGCTCCGGCAAATTTCTCACCACAGTTTCAGTTTCCATGGGTGGTGAGACCTTTCTCAATACATCCTGCAGCAGCTCCGGCAGTTTTCTCAACACAGTTTCAGTTCCCATCGCTGGTGAGACCTTTCTGAATTTCCCCAATGAAGCGGGAGAAAGAGCCAGGAGCTTAGGCAAAATTTTCAGGCCAAAATGAGCAAAGCTCGTTATCCTGGCTACGCTACAGACCTCCATTGGAGCAATTGCAAAAGCAGGTCTTGTTGGAGAAGAGTTGCTTCAGCGGCAAACCAATTGGACTTGGCTTGTATCTAATCTGATGAGAAGAAGCACACCGAGGGCTGGCTGCACTTTATATCCAGTCGAGCCGAGGCCTCACCTGTGATCCGATTAGAAGAAGGGAGTCCGGATCCAGCGAGGATTGTTGCCGTAGAAACTCCAAAAAGATCTGGAATTCGAATCCGAGCAATTACCGCAAGGGCTCCCGTCGATTGCTCCACTGCGCCTCGGAAGGATGCCCCCCAACGATGGGAGAGGAGAACCAACTAATTGCCCGCCGCAGTGTAGCCCGACGGCTCGGCCGTCCCAGGATCCGCGAGAAGGCAGAAGGTAGCGCCGGCGAGCTTGGGCTTCGTCGGCGGCGGTAAACGGGATGCAGGAGGGGTGGTGAGATTAGCAGTGGAAGGTGGCGGCGAGAAGCTGCTTGGCTCCGCCGTCTTCGTCGCAGGCGGCGGCGTTGTGGGGGCAGGTTGCCTTTGCAGAGGTGAGCGGAGAGGGCGTCAGTTATGCGACCGAGCACTGTGTGCTCCGTGCGAGCGAACGATTCCTTTTTCATTTTCTTTTTTGATTTGAAAACTTTCGCGCGAGCGAACGATTCCTTTTTTTTTATTAGAACTTCCGAGCCAGCGACCGATTCATTTCAATCGCGTTGGAGTGCGTCGTTTAGTAATTTTTTTCTGTCTGATAAATTTCAGAAACGCTTCCGCTCAACCGATTGATTATCTCAGTTCGTTCATCGCCTCCGTGATCATTAGATCTGCCTTTCATGCTGCCACGGCTAAAGCAATGTTCTTCTACTTCACGCCCATTCTTAACTCCGCCAAGCCAGGACCGTTCACCATCGACCTCATGGCGATGCATGTTGGTCCCTTTGAACTCTCACTTCTAGAAGCTTCTTTTTTCCGAGGATGAGATATGAATGACTACCAAGCAGTTTTCAATGGGTCAAACACCGGGCCTGGATGGTTTCGCCATTGAGTTTATGCAGAGTGCTTGAGAGGTGATCAAGGAGGATATTTGCGGCATGTTCGGCGAGCTACATTTGCTCAATTTTCGAGGCTTTCGCAAGCTTAATGAGGCACCCATTACTCTACTTTCCAAGAAGGCGGACGCTGCGTCACTCTTCGACTACCGGCTTGTAATGCCCCGAGACCATTGCGCCAGGTGTCTTCCAGTTAGTCACCATCATTGCCATGTCTTTTGCTTGCGTGTTGCATCTTGCCATGTCATCATGTGTATTGCATCATCATGTTTTCAAAACTTGCATCCGTCCGGGTTCCCCCAGTTTCGTCTGTTATCCGTTCTGAGCCCAGACACACTTGCACGCGCCCGCGGCACCTCCGAAATATTATTTTATAAGTGGCCGGAAAATGTTCTCGGAATGGGTTGAAAGGTGGCATGCGGTATTGTTATGTTGTCAGTAGGCCGCCTGGCAAGTTTCATCGCATTCGAAGTTCGTTTGATAGCCCAACCGTTAAACATACGGCCACAATATAGCCGGTCTAATGTCGGACGTTTTCGGTCTCCGAAAACTGTTGTCGGGCCTCCCCTTCTCTTCTCTCTTCTCGGTCCAACCACACACTTGACCTCGTTCGCTAACCCCTCTTTGCTCAGTGCATCGACCCCTCGCCCGTATCCGAAACTTCCCCGAACCCGAACCGGACTTTCGTTACCGATGGGTCCGGATCGTCCCCAAACATCTATAAAACATCTTTGTTTTCTTAATTGGATTCCCTAAGCTATTTATTTGCGACTGTCCGATTCCGATCAGAGGGACCGAGTAGCCCCTAAGCTAACCAACCTACTATAAACAGTCTAACCCTAGATTTTAGGCAGTGTGTCCCATCCATCCCATCGCCACCGCCGCAATCTTCTTCCTCCTCGTTTTCCCAACCTAGCCAACCACCATCCATCTCAGATCCAGCCCCTCCAACCGCTGCTTTCGACCACCTCCCGTGATTCCGTGCCACCAAAATCCCCAGCAAACCACAGCCGTGCCTCCCGCTCCCCTCCTTGATCCAGCTGTCGTCCAAGCCTTCCCCTTCCTCGAACCGCTGCCTCCTCCCTGTTCGGTCCGGAGGAGAGGAGCTCCTCCATGCCCCACCTCACGACGGCCACCCTAGCAGCAGCAGCCCGGAGCGCCGCCCTCCACCGACACTCCAGCCGGCGCTCGATCCAGTCTGAGATTGAGGCCACAGCCTCGCTGCGCCCGAGCCTCCTAGACTCTTCCCGTGCGAGTCGTCGCCACCAGGCCGTTGCTCCCCTACCTCGCTAGCCTCCCACGCCGTCGGCCACCTCTCCGAGCAGAGCCGTCGGACCAGCAGGTCCCCGTCTCGCGTCCCTTCCTTCCCTCCTGCTCCGTTTGTCTCCCTCTCCCTTATTTTTCTCAGCTCTCTCTCTCTCTCTCTGTTCGTCGACAGGACCCGCAACACCTTCCATGGCCGCCGCCCAGAGTCGTTGCCACCGCACCTCTGACCGGATCTGGACGCCTTGTCGTCTTCTGCTCGCTTCCGCCTTCCCTCGTCGCTCCATCTTTCCCCGGCCTCGCAGGAGCCAAGCTGCCGCTGCTGCCAAGGCTCCTGTGCGCCATCGCGGCCTCCTGCCCATCGCGAGACACGCACGCGCTCACGCTTCACACCCGGTTCCACGCCCTCCGTCCTTCACCGCCGCGCCGGAGATCCCTGACACCGCTGCTCTGCTCTGCTTCTTCTCGAGCAGAGGAGCGCGCCCGCAAACCTCTGCTTCACCTGCTCGATCCGGCCAAGCGAGCACCTCGCCCGCCTTGACCCCCATCGTCGACTGCGCCTCACCCAGCTGACTGGGTCACAGCCTCGTCAAGGCCCATCCGCATTCCACGCCGGCCTGCTGCTTCGTCCTCCACCAAACAGGGCGAGCCCATGGTGAGCATCAGATCCAGTGCCCCCCTGTGCACTGTTGGGCCAGCAGATTCGGCCCGATTCATGTTTTTTCCCATGGAATGATTTTAGCTATTATTCCAGGATTTACCTATTTTGCAGAAAACCCCCTAAGCTTCATGCATTTAATAACTCACAAACCGTGCATCATATGTAAAAACTTTATATATGTAACTTGCTTCGAATTTCATCTAGTTTCATAATCTGCATCTTTCATCCATGCTAAAAATGTTTAAAATGTTGTTTGATTAAATTTGCTCATATGCCATGTTAAAATGATTTATTTCACAAATTAATAACCGTAGCTCCAAATTTAATAAACTTTATATGTAAATGGGGTAGAAAAATGCATAGTTTAACATGGTGTACTTACTTTGCATGTTTAAAAACTCTAAAATTATGTTTAGTGCAGAACAGTAGCTAATGCATAATATGCATATGAGGATTTTCCGGAATTGTTGTTGTTGTTTCTGGCCTCATTTATACTTGCTTAAATGTGTAGTTTTCATATGCTTAACCTCTTGCCATGTTTAACAACATTTAATATTGTTGGGTACATAACCGAGAGAGAACTAAATAATTGAATGTGGTGTTTCGTCAATATGCAACTCATTGCATATTGAGCTCCACTTAATTTGTAGTATTGTTTGTTGCACTTTTCCATGACATGACTCTTTAAACCGGACATGCATCATACTTGATTGTGCATCATGCCATGCTTATGCTTGTGTGTTTACCATGTTGCTTGCTTTTTTCCGGTTTGCTTCTCTCGTTAGCTTCGGTTTTGTTCCGGAGATGTGAGGGTTCGTTCGACTACGTCCGTTTGCCTTCTTCTTGGACTCGTTCTTCTTCCTTGCGGGATCTCAAGCAAGATGACCATACCCTCGATATCACTTCTATCTTTGTTTGCTAGTTGTTCGTTCTATTGCTATGCTGCGCTACCTACCACTTGTTATATCACGCCTCTCATATCGCCATGTCAAGCCTCTAACCCACCTTTCCTAGCAAACCGTTGTTTGGCTATGTTATGGCTTTTGCTCAGCCCCTCTTATAGAGTTGCTAGTTGCAGGTGCCTTGCAGGTTGTTCCATGTTGGAACATGGATATGTTGGGATATCACAATATCTCTTATTTTAATTAATGCATCTATATACTTGGTAAAGGGTGGAAGGCTCGGCCTTATTCCTGGTGTTTTGTTCCACTCTTACCGCCCTAGTTTCCGTCATACCGGTGTTATGTTCCTTGATTTTGCGTTCCTAACGCGGTTGGGGTTATGGGGCTCCCTTGACAGTTCGCTTTGAATAAAAATCCTCCAGCAAGGCCCAACCTTGGTTTTACATTTGCCTAACAACCTAAGCCTTTTCCCTTGGGTTCCGCGGACTCAAGGGTCTTCTTTATTTTAACCCCTCCGGGCCAGTGCTCCTTTGAGTGTTTGTCCAACCTAGAGTCCTTTGCAGTGCCACCTCGGGGAAACTTGAGGGCTGGTTTTAGTTGTACAGAGTGCTCATCCGGTGTGCCCTGAGAACGAGATATGTGCAGCTCCTATCGGGATTTGTCGACACATTCGGGCGGTCTTGCTGGTCTTGTTTTAGCATTGTCGAAATGTCTTGTAACCGAGATTCCGAGTCTAATCGGGTTGTTTCGGGAGAAGGAATATCCTTCGTTGATCGTGAGAGCTTGTGATGGGCTAAGTTGGGACACCCCTGTAGGGTATAAACTTTCGAGAGCCGTGCCCGCGGTTATGTGGTAGATGGGAATTTGTTAATATCTGGTTGCAGAGAACTTGACACTTGACTTAATTAAAATGAATCAACCGCGTGTGTAGCCGTGATGGTCTCTTTTCGGTGGAGTCCGGGAAGTGAACACGGTTTGGGTTATGATTGAACGTAAGTAGTTTCAGGATCACTTCTTGATCACTTCTAGATTCACGACCGTTGCGTAGCTTCTCATCTTACTCTTACTTGCATATGTTAGCCAACATATTTTCTTAGCGCTTGATGCAGCTCCACCTCATTACCTTATCCTACCCATAAGCTTAAATAGT